TAGTCAGTCTCCCTACAGTACCCCACACCCAGCTATGTTTACTGATTACATGGGTCAATGTTGAAGTGTCCTCACCCCACAGCAAAATGAGGCAGTATGTCAGGTGGTGGCGGACCATTGCCATCTGGTGGCAACAGAGTGATTGCAAGGTTTAGCGGATGGGTATGGAGGGCAGATGAGCCCGAAGGGTTATTCAAGATGGTGCCAGACACTTCACATCACCATTGTACTTCAATCATCACAACAGCACGGTGAGGATGCCATCAGCATTCCCGTTTCACAGATGGGGAAATTATTGCTCAGAGGGCTTCAGTAATAAGTAACTTGCCCAAGGACATAGAGCTGGTGGCACAGCTAACAAGTAATGGAGGCAGGTCTCTCGGCACTGAAGCACCATTCTCTCTACAGTGCCACTGTTTTGCCCCAATTCTGGAGATTTCAGGTTTTAGAAATATGCTAAAACGAAGAACAAAGATGCTTAGTTTATATTTAGATGGTAGTGAGATGGATGAGGTATGAACGAACTCATAGAAAAGGAACAAATATTTTTGAGCTTCTATCATGTCCCAAATCCTATGCTTGGTCTCATGTTAATCTTCAGGCAAAGGAGAATAGAAGAGAAGCGCTGAGGAAATAACCCAAAAGGGGTGGCACATGAAAAAGCCTCTGAAAGTAAGTCTGGGTTTTGCTGACTTCAGTAAGAGCTTTTCTGCCAGCAATGAAGAAAGAAGTAAATGAAGTGCTCCTGGGTCACTAACTGGATTTCAGCCCTCTCCTGGAATACGTGGGGAGGGGCTGGTGGACGAGGAGTCTATATGAGGTTGCTGCACGTCTCGTAAGCTTTCCTACTCCTACCAAACGAAAATGTCAAGACTGAGAGGGGTCTTTGCAACAAGAAGACTTCTAGACAAGAGGACTGGGCCCAGAGAGGTGGCCAAAGAGCATGGCCGAGGTCACACAGCTCCCGGAGGCTGTATCACATTCTGCTAAGGGAGAGGAACTTGAGTTTCTGTGTCAGGAGAACCAGAACACACTGTCAGGAATCAAGGTATAAAGGTCACCTGCTGGTCTTGGTTGGTGGCAGAGCTAGGGTTTCCTGACTACTCCTGGGGCTGAAACAGGGCTCGGCTTCCTTGGGATGGGCCTTGTACTGAATCAATGATTTGAACATAAGATGACTGCTGATGATAATCATTTTGGGATACTAGTCACA